ACTGAGCCACCCAGGTGCCCCACCAAATTTGGCTCTAAATTAATGTTAACTGTTTTCAAAGTGAATCTGTTTCCTATAAAATTTCACAAATAATAATTCCTTGCATAATGCCTCATTACATTAAACAGTTTTAAAATTCCAGCTTAGACTATCATACAGACAAGGGCAAGGTTATGGACTGAATCATAAGACTTGCCATGTAGCTTTGACGTGGGCAATGTTCAGACTCTTTCTAATACCAGCCAATTGTCTCCCAAGTTTGTGCTGAACCCAGAATCAATAAATATTCATCCAGCACCTACAAAATACCTAACAGACTGCTAAATGCTATGAAAGATTCAAAGGGTGAGAAGGTGTACTCTAAAATTTCACAATTTAACCAGTCAGATACTTGTTTTTCATTCAGAAGCCACTTAGTAAGTGAATACAATGTACTAGGTACAACCCTAGTACTAGATTACCTTTTCACTCTCTTTGCAACAGAGACCCGCAAATGTCTTCTCTATTTGAGGGAGCCTATGTTTCTGGTCCCACACCCATTGGTCTTGTCTGTATGTTGCAAGTTCAACGTCCTGAGGGGGTTCTAATTGGTCTGATGGGTCCCTATTTTTCCTTAGGCTAGAGCTCTCACACCAAACCACTTCATACCATTCATATTCCAAACCACTGGAATCAGTAAGAAAGTTCCAAACTATACAATCAGTAAGAAAGATTCAGGACTTCCCTAAGATAAGAATTGTCTTAACATAAGATAAGAATAAGGTCTTGTCTGTATGTTCATCATTCACACTGACATGCTGGTTGCCCTTAACTTGGGTACCCAAACTGGTCTCATCAGTTGTGACCAGGGCGATGGGGTCAGAATACGGCCACTTCAGTGGAGCCATTCATTTATGGCACTTTTGATCACCAGGGGCTGTGGTTGTGACAGACATTCTCAGAGGGAAAAGACCCACTATCCATATACTATGTGTACATAGGTCCACACTGTAATTAATTTATGAGCAGTTGGATGTAAAGTATTACAGTTTATTGAATCACTTTAAGAAGTGTGGTTTAAGTGTATTTTCTGTAGGATACGTTTTTATTTTACTTTTAGAACTGTAGGATATTTGAATGAACCAAAGATGTTTCCAATTTCACCTTTGGACAAATGAGAGAGAAAGAGGGGGCAAGGGGCAAGGGAAAGAGAGAGACAGAGACAGAGAGACAGAGAGAGAGAGAAACACTTCAGAGGTTAAGAGACTTGTGTCAAGGTTACTCAGCAGCCATAGAAGTAGAATCCAGGATTCCAGGCAGTGGGGATCTTCTATTCCACACTCACTTTATACCTTAACCTCATTTTCACATTTTGTCTTCTTTTATTTTCTAAAAACAAAAGAGTACAATGAAAGAAGAAAAAGAACCCAGGAACATGAGTTCTCAAATTCTCTATTTAAATCGTCCTCGCTTACAGTTAGCTCAGTTAAAAGTCTGGGAGGCTACACTGTGATTTGACTCATGTCTGCTGGAATTATCTTATTCTCTAATCTCTGTTTACACTGCTGCAGATGTTGGTAACCAAAGCTGATCGTGTGTGCCATTAGACACATGGAATGCTCAGCCCACCTGCCTCAGTCATGGAGAAACACAGCAGAATGTCTTCCTAAAGGCAAGTGGGTTCTTACATCATCTTTATTCAAAGGACCACAGAGTCAAGAATAAGATACTAAAGAAATCTTGGGTTTTATTTCATTTTGTTTTTTGCTAATTTATTATGACTACATTGGAAAGGGTTATAAATTCACATAGTGTCAAACTGAGTGATAAGGTTTCATCATTTTTCTTGTTGAATTAAAAAATTAACCCCCAACAGGCATATATATAGCTTATATGCTTGATTATTACTTTGTCCTCACACAACTTCTTCTTCCTTACACAGTTGCTAAGACCTTATTTCTTCTGGAGAAAGACAATAGAATTTCACCTGTTCCCTAATTCAGGTCCTAACTAAACTTATTTTTCATTTTAATTTTTTTCTCAGCTATTTGAGTCATTTATAAGCCAAATTCCTATGAAAAGGGCGGGGGAGTACAACTGGTTTTCATGCATAATTTAATTAAAACTTAACTCATCTGGTCTCAAAATTGAATCACATTTTAGCAGAAAGACAGCCTGGACCAAGACCCATCACAAAGAAGAATGCGAAAAACTTAAGGAGCACATAATGCAAGAAAACTCACACTGATGTCAGATTAACCAATGCTTTCACCTCATTTTGCTAAGTTTTCTTCACTCAAATCCTTAAAGAGACTCTTCTGCCTGGAAAGATGAATGTAGCTAAAAAGGCAGCAAAGCAATTCATACCCTTGACGCAGTATAGTAAATGGGATTTCAACCAAGCTGCCTTTAGGAAACTATCAAAGGTTACAAAAACGACCAGTTACAAAGGAAAACTAAAGAAATTAAAAGGAGTCATATTCTAGTCAGAGAATAGATTTTAAAATATGTGTGTGTTTAAAATCTAATTCACTCTCAGCAATTTCAGTGGCGGAAATCTTAGTGTATTAATCAAAATGGGTAGTGTAGGCTCTGTGTATCCAAAAGGCAGACATGCTAAGGAAAGAAAGATTAATCTGGTAAAGGCATCACTATTCTAATCGGACTGATGGGAAAATGTAGTATGGGGGTAAGAGGCAATGTAGGGTGAATTATAGTGAAGTGATGAACTACCTTGAAGCTGAAGCAATCAAATAGATAGCTCTAAAAATTACTATGGCATCTTTATTCAACACTTTGGTGTAAGTGTCCCTGTCTTGGTCTTCTTTACAAAGAACAGAAGCACTTTGTTGTATTTGGTGAAATTAAATCTTAATAAGAGAGCTTCAGCTAAGGCTGCTACCCTTCACTTACCAAAATTAAACACTAGACATTAATTTCCTTTCCAAGAAGAGGAGATGACATTTTGATAATATTTTCAATTTACAAAATAGTTAAAAATCCAAGGGAAGCATTAGCAAACATTTTAAAAAATTTCTATCACATATTTCTGTCACATATCTGTGCATTGTGCACTCTTTTTAATTAAAAGTAATGTGAAACATTTGTTACTCATCCTTGTCTTCTTTATAAATAATTTAGCAAGTAATTATTTTGTCTTTAGAAAAAAAGATAATTGTCTCTAAATTATTATGATTGAAAAGAATAAAGTCAAGGTGTTTTTGTAATTGGTAGAGAAGAGCAAGTAGTCCCTATTGGAGTATTTTAACACTTTGCTTTTGTCTGATTAGATACAAATTTTATAAAATGAGACCACAAAGAACTATCACCCAAAAAGGTAAGGTAATCATAATCTCACTATCTAGAGATAACTATCATTAACATTTTGCCTTATAAGAATGTATACATATACATGTAATATACAAGTAAGTGCATGCAAGTGTTTTTATACATACACACACATTATATATGTGTACACACACACACACACACACACACACACACACACACCTTTTTTAAAGGATTCATACTACACAGGTTCTTTTGAATCCAGCCTTCTTTTCTTAGAAATACAGGCATTTTTTCAAATTAATAGGTAAGGATCTATGTTACCATTTTTAATGTCTTCATAGTATTGCATTTATATCTTATTTATTTAACTTACCATATACTGAGTATACACATTGTTTTCAACCTTTCACCATTATAAACAGGCTGTATCTTTTCTTTTTATTATGTTCAGTTAGCCGACATATAGTACATCATTATTTTTTGATGTAGTGTTCAACAATTCATTAGTTGCGTATAACACCCAGTGCTCATCACAACACGTGCCCTCCTTAATACCCATCACCTGGCTACCCATCCCCTCACCCTCCTCCCCTCTGTAACCTTCAGTCTGTTCCCCGGAGTCCAGAGTCTCATGGTTTGTCTCCCTCTCTGATTTCTTCCAGGCTATATCTTTGAACTAATATCTGAAGTCATACACAAATATGAAAAATTTTATTTCCACTACTGTGTACTGTGAATCACAAATCCTAGATAAATGTTCCCATATGTAATGGTACTTTATAAACCTTTGAAACCGCAATTCCGCTTGGCACTATGTTTTTCTATTAGCTCAGAATATTTCATATTTCCCTTCCTATATTCCTTTGGAGTAGTTAAGAGGTAGATACTACTATCTACATTTAACACACTGATTTTTGAGTTGAAGCATCCAAAGTTGTAAGTGGGGGAGAAGTGACACTAACACTAAGTCTACAGAACAAACGTAAGTTGCTTGAATCTACTCTGTGCTCTTTCCAACGGACCAGTGCTTTCCCCTCGCTTCCTGGTGTGGGAGGATACCGGGGACTTCCACCCAGCGTGATTTTGCATTCCTGCCTCTTTCCCTTCAACTATAGTGATTTTTGCTGTCTTCATCTGATACCTCCTTTACATTATGCTGAAAGTGCCAGAATACCTATTAGTCTTACTTTGATTATAATCACCTCCTATTCTAAAACTCAACAATTAAACAGTTTTCACTGAGAGCTCATTTTGTGATCTTGAAGTTTATGTGGGTATCTCTGTTCTTCTCTACACTGTAAACTCTGATAATCAGAGATCCTCAACACTCTTTATTTGGAATCCCCTAAAGACAACTCATACTTCAAATAACACACATACTGAAAACAGTATTTTAAACTATTTTAGCTTTTGGACACTACCAATATTTTTTCATTGCATTATGTAAAACTTTTATTGTATTAATTAACTTAAAAAAAGACTACTTCAGATTTTTGTCAATCCTATTTCTTAATGTATTTTGAGTCTGTTTTGGAGAAGAGCTTTGAAAAATAAAATCCATGATTTTTGAATGTTAAAAACCATTAAATTAGAATGAAAAATGGAGTTTTATTATATATAAATATTATATCATGGTTTTAAAAATGCTTGAGAGTTAAAGTCAATCTCATTTGATTTTTTAAAATGTTTTTAATATACTTTTTGAAGTACTTCTTAGCAAAAATGCATACCTTTAGATAATTTGTCCAGCTTTTGAATATAATTTTCCATACTTTGAGAAGAGATCAAATGATGGTAATACAGTTTGGAAATCCTGGGAAGAAAAAGATCAAAGATTACCACAGAGATCTTATTGACTTTGTATTGTTATTATTATTTTATAACTTATATCATATTAAATTTATAGACAGATATTTAACCGCACTTCAAATTTCCCATCATATCCTCAAATAAGACAAAATTGGCAGTTAATTTTTATCAGTTGAAAGCCAGACATACCGAAGCTTCCTTAGACACATGGCTTTCCATAGCTATGGGTGGTACTATTAAAAACCTCTGAGAATGCAAAGACCAGACGCACTTACCTGTCTTCAAGGAACTCACAAATCTGTATTTTTTACCTTGACCTATAAGGTCCCCGCATAGTTGTGCTTTTGGGTCCTTCTCTGATGTGGCTTATTTGCCTCTGCGTTTCCCCTCATTTACCGTACTTTAGTAACACTTCTGTTTACTGGACACATTTCCTCTCAGTCTTTATACTTATAGATGCTTCCACCTAGACAGCCCTATCTCCAGTTATTTTCATGGCTCATTCCCTCCTTTTATGACATCTCTGTTCAGAGAGGCCCTCCTAGACTACCTGTATATACAAAATAGCACTCCTGAAACTTTCTATCACCTCAACTGGCCTCTATCTTCTTAATTACCACTCCTTGATATTACATGTCTATTTATTTTGTGTCCCACATGAACATATAAGCTTCACAGGAGTAGGTACTTTGTTTTGTAAAAAATAAAGATTTGTTGACTGAATGAATGAAATGGGAAAGGTGATATACTGTGCTAAGTACTACAGTGTTGATTCAAAGAAATGCTACAGAAGTTTAGAGGGCAAAAGCATTCTTTTACTCAGTAGCCAGAGAAGCCACATTTGATTGAGGACAGAAATGAATGCTCTTCATGCATGGTAAAAAGGCAAATAAATTAAAGAAGTAAAGTACTAAATCAACAGTGAATACTGTAAATAAATGGTCAGACTAGATAAAAGCATATGTGTCTCCTCCTATGGGAGGCCTATCCATAATGGAGATGATTTGGGACAGTTTTTGTTTTTTTTCCCTTTAAGAAAACCTTGGAAAGCAGGACCTCCACCCTGAGCCCACCTCTTTTAGAGAGTTTGTACATTACAAACACGCAAAACATAAATGTATTGAAGAACACACAAGTGTCTCTGCCGCCGGCTCTCTACTCTGGCCCAGCAGCGCTCTTACCCTAAATACCTGCTTTTATGACTGACGCTGTTCAGGCCCCAGGGAGAAGCTCACATCTGTTGCTCTGTGTTAGTGAAATAAAAGTGACTAAGCCCAAGTGACATGAAGGACAGTTACGCTGTAACAGACACTGCTTTCAAGGATGAAAAGAATTTAAGTGACAAAGATGCTTAGATAAAAAAACTAATTTAATTAATTTGAATAAAATCCTTCCTCTTGGATAGCATAAATGCAATAGAACTTCATATGATGAAGGATTATTTTTCTGTGGCTCCGAACATCCATACTTTTGCTTTCTTTTTAGTCCAAATTGTGATTCTAGAGGTACTCAGGAATTGATACCGTATTTACGAGAGTTGTCCTTGACATAGCAGGAATATTTTGCAATAGTAAATAATTCAAATTACTCTTAAATTTGAATGTATGAAGTTTAGGCATATGCGTGAAGCACGGTAGTGATTTTTTATGTAGGCACTTGATGAACTCAGAAACCTAGAACTGTGAATAGTTTTAGTTTTATAAATAAACACAATTTAAATTTCAAAAAAGTAAATGAAAAGGTTAATTTTTATATAAATGATCTTAGTTTAAACTTTTGATATTTATTAATTATATTTATTCCTCATTTTGACATAATAGATAATTCTGAATAAAATAACTCATTTTTAAGACATGTAAATAAGTTTAAATTTGTTTTTTACATTAATTTACACTTGCTAAAAATGTATTCAAAGTGTATATGCTTTAGATTTATATTTTCTTTTAAAATCCAGCTTATATCATTATTGATAATGTAATACATCAAAATCTTGATTCTAAAAATATAATTAAATAAAAACTTAAAAAATAAAAATATAATCAATGATTCTGCTGAAATAAATGCAAGAAAATAAATTAAATGGAATACATATTATGCATAATTTATGTGTGTCTTTATTTTATTACTCAACCAAACATTATAGACCCACCAACAGATAACCCAGTCATGGGAACAATTAGTAAATTCTGTTGTCTTTGATATCTTGCCAACTTTCAGTCTTAATTTTACATGTAGTTCTTGATGTTGTTATAAAAGTATTTTTATTATGGTAAATGACAGAACATATTTATTTAACAGTTAACCTGATCTGTAACTTTTCAATCTGTCATATGATGCGTGGCTTCCATTGTTCTGGCCTTGTGCTCTGTAAATGGTAGAGGTGGGCCTGCTCTTCATATGCTTGGAGGTCTATTCAACGGACCCCCAGCTTCGTCTTCTCTAGACACAGAGTGCTCTTCCTCCAAAGGCCTCACTTTCCAAATCCCCTTTGCATCTGTCTTGTAAACCACTTTCATATTCTGAACACCTGTCTAGAAGCAGTTTACTAAACTGATAAAAATGGAAATGGGGTAGTCTGAGCTTTCTTTCCCTCTAACATCTCAGTTAGTTGTCCACATTTGACCAAAGTATTCTAGTGCTGATTAGGCTTACTTTATAGTAATTCTTTCCCTTGTTATGTAAGTAATTTTTTGTTTCCTTCACTAATACCCTTAAGAATGTTCCATTCTTTTATTTTTTTTATTGAGGGAAGTTTTCGTTTGGTTATTTTCTTTATTCTCTGAACCCTAGACGCCATCTAATCACTGTACTTTTGACAATGGTGGTATGATATAGTGGAAAGGGCTCTGGCCTGGCCTTGGGGCCATTGATTCATTTGTCAAACATGTGCTGGGCCCTACTCCAAGGTCTAGTCTACCCAGAACCAGGTGGGAATCCCTGGACTACCACTTACTAGTGTTTTCAGCTTGGTTGAGGGATTTAATCTACCTGAATCTGTTTACTCATCTGGACTCTAGCTTCCAGTTCAATATGTAAAGAGTTTGGAAGTCATCACTCCCATCATCACAACAGGTAAAAGCTGAACAGATTTCAAATCAACTCTTCTTAGATCCATCAGAAAACCGAGGTCACAGGGCAAACTTCTGCTCTGAAAATGGGAGAGATAGGCAGATAGTGAGGATCACAACTTCCTGGGAGCAGAAGCTCAGGAAGAGAAGTGCACTGAAGACAATCTCATAGGAATACCTTCAACTATAATTGACAAATTGCTGGTGGCTCAGTGTGGGCCCATTGAGAGTTAAGAACTCTGAGGGGCCCCATCACAGAGGGGCTCCCATGCTATCCTGAGTTTTACTAGTAGGAGGCCTACCAGGTTCTCACTGTGAACCTCACTCTTACTTCCCGCAGAGGGAGGGAAAAAGTAGCCATTTGGGAATATTCCCAGAGCTCTCTGTTCTTCTTAATAAGGCATGTCCTCAGTGAAACTATTTTACCAGCCTGGGGGATCACAAAGCCTGACCGATTTGAGGGAAGAAAAATAAGGCTCACTAAAAGACTGAGACCTAATCAGAAGACTATGGAACATTTCCCCTCCCCACAATTTACCACCACATCATTAGGCTCCTGTGTAATAACAGGAGATCACAGCCAAAATAACTGCAAGCCTGAGACCCCATTTAAGAGTCTCTAGGGACACTCAAAGAAAACAAGGGAGAGAAGAAAAAGGACACTAAAGAAAATTTTAGCTCTGACACCGCAGCTATAGTCAACAGGGAACAGCCTAATTCCTTGGCAGAAAACATAAAAGCTCACACTAAAGGCCTAGGTACTTTAGTTTTTTCCACTTGATATATCATGTCTAGTGTCCAACAAAAAATTACAACTCATGCTAAAAGGCAAACAACAACCACCACCACAAACCCCAAAAAACTCAAATCTGAAGAGGCAAGTCAGACATCAGAAACAGACTCTGATACGCAGAAATTTTGGAATTATCAGACCGGGGATTCAACTATGATTAATATGCTAAAGGTGCTAATGTAAAAAAGTGGACAACTTGCAAGAATACATGGGTAATGTAAGCAGAGAGATGAAAACTAAAAAAGAACCCAAGGAAATACTACAAATAAAAAACACTATAAGAGAAATAAAGAATGGCTTTGATGGATTCAGAAGGAAACGACACAGCTGAAGAAAAAATCAGAGAGCTTGAAGATATGTCAGGAGAAACTTCCAAAGCTGAAATTCAAAAAGAAAAGAGAATGAAAAAGATGGACTAGCATATGCAAGATATGGAATAGATATGCAAGAACTGTTAGACAATCACACTAGGTATAACTTAGGCATACTGGGAATATCAGAAGGAGAAGACATAAAAAAGGAACAGAATATTAGAAGTTTTTTCCTAAATTAATGACAGACATGAAACCAGATTCAGAAAGCTCAGAGAACATCAAAAATTTACACCCAAGCATGTCATATTCAAACTGCAGAAAACCATATGAAGAAAAAAATATTGAAAAAAGGCAAAGGGGAAAAAACCCACCTTCCAGATAGAGGGACAAGGATAAGAATTACATTGGACTTCTCTGCAGAAACCATGCAAGTGAGAATGGAGTAAGAAAGTGTTAAAAGAAAATAATCACCAACCTACCATTCTGTATCCAGAGAAATTATCCTTCAAAAGTAAAGGAGAAACAAAGACTTGCAGACAAACAAATATTTTGATAACAAATGAAGAAATGTCACAGGTAGCCCTACTATGCAAGAAATGCAATTTCTTTTCTAAAGAAAGAAAACGTTTAAGTTATCAGAGAGAAGGAAAACAAAATAGGTTAGAAATGAGGAGCATTAGAGAAGAAATAAATGAAGGTAAAATAAAACCTTTTATTTTCATTTTTCTTAATTACCTTTCAGATAACCATTTTCTTCAAAATAATATTATACATATATAATACATAATAAATACATAATATGTACAATATACATAATAAAACATAATCA